TTATTCAGATAATCGTATCAATCTTACCAGTTCAACCGACTAGTGTTGGCGGATTCAATAGCAAATATTTTATTCAAGCGAAGTAGACTGGTTATAAACTGGTTCTCGGTCCATCCGGTTGGACTGTATCCACCCCGATTTAATTTAGAAACAATGAGTAATCATAATTAATATTATTTATAAATTTAATTTAAAGTACATTGTAATATTGTTTTCTCGTGCATTTCATTCGTCACGCACTAGTTATGTGTTAGATCTGAGTATCTTACTATTATAACTTCATTAAATAATAATTATCTATGTACAACTTGCATTGCAAGAGCCAGCCATTATAAATGAGCGCTATTAGCTGCGTTTTTCAAAATTCAACTGAAGTCAAGATATATTTGTACGTAATTAACCAAACATTTTATGTTTTTAATTTTGTGCTTGTCATTTTCCTGTCCAGCCAATTCTTAACATAAAGGAACAAGGTACTCCCTCCTTTTTTAAATAAATGTCGTTTTCACTTTTTTGATTCATCCATTTTGCTATGTATCTAGACATTAATATGTCTAGATACATAGCAAAATGGATTAATCAAAAAAGTCAAAACGACATTTATTTAAAAAATGAGGTAGTATTATTTATCAATATTGAAATATTATTTTCAAGACATATTGATTCATTCTTGATTTAACCATCTTAATGTTGAAAATTAATTTTAACTTATGTCAACATATCAACAATAATAATATTCTATACCCGAAGAAAAGTAGTTGGGGAAAATTTATAACTGCCCTTTTTTAATAAAGATTTTGCAAAACAATTACTAGCTATACACAGTTCCCAATCTACTCCAAACAGTAGACAAATTTGCTTGAATAGAAAGTTACATCATTTCAAAATTCAACTACTCTCTCTATTTCTCTCTCTTATCTAACTGCTCTCTTTCTCTCTCTTATTTCTCTCTTACATCTCGTTTCATTATTTTCTCTCTCTTCTTCCCTTTATTCATCATCTTCATCTTCTCCTGAGAAAAAACAATTGATTATATATATATATATATATATATATATATATATATATATACATACATAAAAAAAATAACATAACAATCCACAACATAAACATTGAGATAAATATGAAGAACTGAAAAACCTTCGATTTAACAAGAAAACAACAACATAATAACATAAAAGTAACGTGAAAACAACCATAACAACATACAAAGTAACATTAAAAAAACCATAACAATCCAGAGAATAACAAACCTCAACATAAACAAAAATCAACAGGCACATAATGAATGAAAATAATTTCCATAGACTTCCTCTAAAAACTCAAGCCGATCGTTCAAGGAGTGCGAATTGAAGGCTAATAATCGTCATAAAAATCATAAAAACACACCAAGCCTGAAAAATAGAAAATTATTAAAAATTGTCCCTACCGATTGAACCCAAAGATGCCCCGTCGTTGAGCCGTAACGACGACGAGCAGCCGGAGGTAGTAGATCCTTTTATAACGATTTGC